TGCTTTGTCAAGTCTGCAGACAGATGGCAGGCGAAAAACCTTTTAAAATTCGTGTTTTTCTAGATGGAGATTGGCTAAGCTAACGCAGTATATGCTCCGACCGTCCACACTCACAACAACGGCCTATACAGACATAAATAAAGCAGCGACTGTATTCACCATGACACAGACAGTCTGTGGTTTGTACTTGTTTAACTTTTGTCGAGTTTCTGAACATATATAAGGAGCTGTGAGCTCTGAGTGCTAACAGCTAATGGCTGTGTTGTGTTTCTGGAGTTCTCATTGAAGATGACGTCACGGCTCCGCCTACACTGCGTTACTATAGTAACTACCCCAGTTCCTAAACTGTAATGGAAGCGCAGCATGAAGTGAGTCGGCCCAACGCGGCCAAGCCGTACCGAGCCGTACCGAGCGTGGCCGAGGCCGACCGTGTAGTGGAAATGCGCCATTAGAGATGTCACTTTAGGTATTCAGTGAAGCATGCAATATATATACCTTTTATTATGTATTTTCAGTTTTATGGGGAAAATAGCTACAGGGTTTTTGATGTCATGTCATTTGATGTGTTTTTTTCCTTATTTTATATTTTAATTTGTATCTCTACTATTGTAGAGGAAACATTTACATTTAAAGAATGACATTCCTTGAAGAAAAAAAAAAAGGTCTTATTGATGAGTCTACATGAGCTGAATAAATACCAACTCATTCAATAATACAGAAGGCTTTGTGTTATTCGTCAAGCTGCTCTCTTTTCATTCCACCTGCCGAGCCTCTGGGCAGATTTGATTTAAACTAATCTCAAATGATATCTGATGCCGGCACAGACTGACACGTTATTGTTTAATATCTTGTTCTCTGTTTGCTTTTATTGTTGATTCGAGTTTGTAGAGTACGATCATTCTGTCTCTTAAACCATTTTAGTTGTATGTGCTGGTGAAAAGCTACAAAATCTGGCATTCTTTATATAACCACACACACACACACACACACACACACACACACACACACACACACACACACACACACACACACACACACACACACACACACACACACACACACACACACACTGTACATACATACATACATACAACTAACCTAAAACAGTTATGGGGAATATGTGGACGTAATGCATTTAATTAAAGTCCGTTTTTTTTCAGTGTACTACTAGTCTCACATCCTAAAACAGGCGATAGAATGAACTTGTGCTGTGGGGGCCACAAGTGAAGTCCTGTCCATTGTCAGTGATATTTACCCAGCGGGGGGTCCATTAGTGTCCGTCCGCATTCTGCAGCTACATTAGCGTTAGCGTTAGCGTTAGCGCTGCTTGTTGCGACAGCTGCGTCTTCAGCCGCTCCCTCCTCATTGTTGCCCGGTGTGACAGAGCTCCTATTGAACCTGAATCAGTTTGAAAAGGCTCCCCAAGCACAGAGCTGCACACTAAGTTTCACAGCTCTGACCCCCTCCCAGTGACCTTTGACCTGCCACACACTTACACTTTCTCTGTTAGCAAATCAACTTGGCAGCAACAAGACAAGACGACAGCAGCTTCATTACTGTCAGTGCTGAACATAATACCTCTAATGTTAAGTGTCACTTCCTGAGGATTACAGCAAAGCTTTAATTAGAGGATGGCATGGCAACAGTGAACGTGTTTAGGTTAGGTACAATTACGAGAAACAGTAGAAACACTACTCCAATGTAGTGAGATATCTGGCATGAGTGACCAGTTATTATAAGGATGTTAAGAAAATGATAAAGTAGAAATTGTAGGTATTTTGTGCTTCATCTTGTCCTTAGCTTAACAATATATATCACAAGGTGCAAGTACAGACTGTGCATTTCATAGCGATAGCAAAGAACAAACACTGAAATAAATATACAGGTATTGTTGTTTAAAAACCTAAACAGCTGTGTAGAATGTATGAACTGTAGCACTGCTGGACACAGTTTGAAGGATAATCACAATACTTTAAATACAGTAATAACATGTACTCAACAAGGACAATGCCACAAATCTAAGAACATGGCACAATTGCAAAAAAAAGATCCAAGAAACAGATGCAGTCACATGACCATTGGCCTTTACACATTTTATTTTTTTTAGAACTTAATAACTGGAATTACGTCTATTCAAGTGTTCCTACGGTTATTTTACCTCAAAACTAATGATACGTCAAAGGGAAAGATGATTTCTGGGCCCAATGACGAATTATTACCATCAGAGATACAAGGTCCCAGGTAGACTGAAGCACTCCTTTGTGCACCAGTCAATCCTTCAAATTAAATACTGAGTTAAATCCCAGGTCAAACGTACGTTAGAGGGTCTTGAGAATGTTTCTCTTCAGTGATTGTGATGTTACGTTTGTTTCCTTGTCTTGTCTTATTCGAGTTAATGAGCATTTCTCAGTATACAGCATATCATAATTGCTTCTCAATTTGTGTTAACTTCAGATTTGCTACGCACGACCTCTGCACATGTTACACAAAGCAAGGAGCCCACTGTTGAAGGCTGGGGGGGAGATGCATGCAGATTTCTTGTTGGATGAAGAAACACCTATCAAACTTTTTTCAAAGACTTGGATAGCATCAGGTTATGGATATTTGCAAATATGGTAACTCCAACCTTTTCAAGAAAGGAATTCAACCTGTCCATAACTTTAAGAAACACACTCCACAGAGGAGTGTGTTTCCTGTGCTGGTCCCACAGAGGGAAGAACACTATGTATTATAATATTCAAATATTGTTGATTGAATAATGTGCAGTTTGTGTGTACCATCTGAAATCCTGTCTCACACACGGACAGATGCTGATGGTGTCATACAGACACTTTATAATAAAGGTAACATTAATCCAGATTAATTCAACAATCATTAGCTATACACTTTCAAGCAGGACTCGGCTGAATATGAAGGGCGGAAAGGATTAGCTCAATTTGCATAATAAACAGGCCCGTCGAACAAACAAAAACAGGAAGCTGAGGTAAATAAACCTTGAAGAGAGTCCTTGTCTGCTCCTGTCCATTTCTATGTACACAGTTTATTTATCAATATTTGTGGCCATAATTACAGCTGTTTCCTTGTTGGGAGGTAAAGGAGATGAATTAGTGACCTGCAACAAACGCTGTATGTAGAGAGATAATGAGCTCGCTCGATGCTTTCATTTTTAAGTGCCAATTCAAGTCATCCACGAAAGTGTTTATTTTGTGTGTTGGAGACCCCTGATGGTTTCTTCAGGGGGAAATCTCTGAGGCAGCAGAGCGGTAATGGATCAGGTCCACTCTCATCCAGATGACCCCCCACACGTTAAAAACACGTAAAGTACAAAAGTATTAGCATCAACATATATTTAAGTGTAAAAAGTCAATGTAATCATTGTGCAGAAAATTGCCTTTAAGTGTGTCTATAATTATATTTATATATGTGACCATTCTGTTTTAGACAAACAAAGTTCTGATATACAGTACTTTTTGTAAAATATTTAAATGATTTGACTCTTTTGTGACTTAAAGAGTTAGTCCAAACAATTTTAGGGATGCATTTTGTTAAAATTAGCTAAAGCTATTTAATAAATGTAGTGGAGTCAAATGTAATGATTTCCCTTTTAAAAACATATAAAGTGGCATTAAATAAATACCTATTATTTAATGTTTTCTATACTGTAAATTAGATTAATGGAATTGAATTTTCGGGGTTGACTAAACACAGACACACATTTTATAAAATTGATATTTGTATTCATGTGTCAGCCATTTAGTCCTTGTCACAAACATCCTGTAGAAAATCCCAGTGCATGAAACTAAGTACTGTCAATTATACCTGAGGCACTTCTTACATACGTCTTACTTTCATTTCCTGACTATGATTCAGATTGACTCTGTGATGATGCATTTTACATTTATAGAGTGCAATTGGTATACAAAAAAAGGTGTTATAAAAAGTCTTCTTGGGTCATATTTGTAATGGTAAAATTATCTTACATTGCTCAAGTAAAAATCTGAGGAAGGTCCCACAAAATGAATACTAACATTGGTACTTATATGTATCCAAGTTCAAGTTTTTCAAGTCTGTCCCTTTGTTTGTTTGAAGTGATGTCAAAGTACTGGGTTCAGTTAGGTTAAGAGTGGATGCATCTAAACTGTGAGATGATGTATATATTTAGCTGTAGTGTATAGTTTAACAATCTCAAAATCTAAAAGCTATGTTCCTGGTTAGGCCTTCGGTGCCCGCTGTCTACTCTGCTGTTGTACTTACTTGTGTAAGTACAATATTTAAGTAAACTATATTTTCTTTCCACCACTGCTTTTCTACTTTTATGTAACTCATAAAACGTATAATAGTTTTTTTTTAAATAGTTTTTTGGTTGTTTTTCTTCCTATTATCTTCTTTAACTGTGTTTATGTATGCACCATGTACAACAGAACAGGTTAATAATGTGTGTGATGAGTGTGAAAGTGTTTTTGTGTAATATAGTCTCACAGAAAGGTGACACAACAGGAAAATGAAACACTCTGAAACATTAAGACTGAAGCTGCTGTTTTTCAGAGGAGCTACACACCCAGTTCTGAGGATTACGTTTTTTGGTGAGTGTGTTTGTGTGTGTGTGTGTGTGTGTGTGTGTGTGTGTGTGTGTGTGTGTGTGTGTGTGTGCGCGTGTGTGTGTGTGTGTGTGTGTGTGTGTGTATGTCTGTGTGTGTCTGTCTGTGTTTGTGTGTGTCCAACTGTGCCAGAGCATCCCTTGCCCTTTTCCTGCAGAAAACCAAAAATATCTGAACCGAGTTGTGACAACATTTCCTCCGCCGCGCATTCCCCAAAACCCATCTCCCTCCGCGCGCCTATTGGCCCGCAGGATTCATGACGTTTCCTTCTGTGCGCTGTGATTGGCCAACCCCTCCGCCTGTCTTCCTGACTGACAGCAGCGGAGCCACAGGCCCCGCCCCGCGGCAGCAGACGCTATTTGAGTGGGACCAGCGGATTGTTGTACATAGAGCCGGTTTAGTGTCGTCAATGGGAAGCACGCGAGACGGTGGCACAGAGAGTTACGGTCTACACCGATATCCGCGGCTGCACCATGCTTTCCAGCTCCATCCCGTGTCTGTGGATTACATTTTGCCTTCATTTATGCTGCTGTGTAGACGGCGGACAAGCACAGAATGGGAAGGAAGGTAAGTTCTTAAAGTTTGGACTCACATTCGGAAGACATCCTGCAGAATTAGGAGAAGGTTCCGCGGAAAGCCTCCTTGTATTTATTTGTTTAATTCAAATCACAAGCTAGTTACTCAACAGCCGGGTGTGTGATAGAGCCAGAGCCGTCGGAGGGGGTCGGTGTGCGGGGTGACAGCGCTCTGCTCCCGGCTGTTAGGCAGCGACCTCTCGGGGGTTTTACGCACGGAGCTGAAACACCGTAGAGCTCGGATTAGACGCAGGAGCTTCGGTTCTACTTTACTCCAGCGCCACTGCGTTATAGCCATAACTAGCCAGCTCGTTATAGATTAACAATCTATCATGACAAACCAGGCAATATCAGCGGATCGATGGCCCAGCAGCTCCAGGGATGTGAGGGCTGTCGGTGTGGAGGCAGTTTCGGAGGATTATCCTCCAAAGTGGCCTCGTCTCTAAGTCTAGTTTTACAGGAAAATACGGCACATTGACGCGGAGCCGTTATCTGCCTTAAATTGATCAGCTATAAAACACCCACAAATAAAAGAGGATTCAAATATATCAAAAGGGCTGAAAATGTGCACTTTTCATTATGTAAGGTTAAATTATGTTTTGTGTAAAATTAAAGGGCAAGTATTGCTATTCCCGGCACCAAAACTACTGTGTAATAACCGAGCGCGGTCCTGGTGTAATGTCTGATATGAATGGTAAATACTCGGCGGTTATATGCGGGGTTTCGCGGAGCTCCTTGCAAAAAAAGGTACACATATAATACAAAAATAAAGATAAGAAATAATAATGTTATTTTTCACAGCGATGCATCCTGGCTCTTCTCATGGTGGAGCTTTCTGCTCATTTAAAACAACTTCAGGTTTTTCTGAGCCTCCGTTCTGCCGCTTTGCGCTCTCTCACGCGCCCGGAACATAAACAGGCTGATTGGAAAAAATATCTCCTCCACAGATTTAAACTGAACACAAGCCGCATGTTCTGTGGTGAACTGTTTTAGGGCCGCTTTAAACTGAAACACTCCTGAGTTTAAGCTCCATCGGAATGACAGCAGCAGCCGCTTTGACCTTAATGGAACAACTTCCAATGAAACAGCGAGTTTTAATAAACGCACAATAAATGCATATTTGTTAGAATAAAATAAAAATAATACGCGTTATTATTCCGTACATGTGCCAACATGCACCTCTGCTTTTAGTCTCTATTTCTTGTAAATGCACATGTCAGTTTCTCCGTCTGTCTCAGAAAGTTCCCTGCAGTGTCTCAGGGCCGTCCCTGGCCAAATTGAGGCCCCACGCAAAGTTAGATGATGAGGCCCTCTGTTTCGCGAGCGTCGACGGGGGGGTGGTAGTGGAGCCTCGCAGCGGCGACACCGTACCGCGCCACACTAATTGCGCCGCATACACGCATAGGTGCGCCGCATTTTGGACTCAGTTGAGGATACCTCCGCAAGATGAGGCCCCACGCAGTCTGCCTGATATTCATGTAAGGAGGGACGGCCCTGTGTCTAATGCATATGAATGTTTTAGCTTTAGTTGCTTGGAATAAGGTCACGGCTAACTGCGCTATAGATATGGATGTGTGGCCGGTCAGTAATACCTGTCCCCGGTGAGATTTAACCACCTGCCTCTGGTTTCCTGTCACTAGTGATTCTGCTGGACTCCAAGGCACAGCAGACAGAACTGGAGTGGATCTCCTATCCTCCCAATGGGGTAAGTCTGTTAAAATTCTCCATCACGATGTGCTCCATATCTATGTTACAGCTCTCTCTGATGTCCCACATCTGTGATAGGAATAATAATATTTAGACCGGGCATGAAACATACATAAGGCTCAGTGCTAGCTGAAGTCTTTGCAGAATTCAGGAGGCTCTTTCTGTCACTAAACTCTACAGGGTTTTGACATTCTGAGCACAAAGGCCTTAAGCAACCGGCTTCCAAGCTGCAGTCTGATGAAAAGCAGGCTGTGAGAAACTTTAAATAAATAATGTGAGCAGAAGAACGTAAACTGAGCATAATCTGTTTTTAAAGCTGTGTTGATATAAATGCAAAAGCTTATCTCTGAAATGTATTTTTTGTACCTTTGTCGTATTCTCTAATGAGGCATCATCTCCAGATTCATTGCCAATCATTTGATGTCCATCTCAGTGTTATTGCTTTTACATCTAAACTGTGTTGGTCTCTATTGGAGGTGCTCACTTCCACATGTGTTCTTGTTTCAGTGGGAAGAGATCAGCGGCCTCGATGAGAACTACACTCCCATTCGCACATACCAGGTTTGCAAGGTCATGGAGCCCAATCAGAATAACTGGCTTCGGACTAACTGGATAGAGAAGGGCACTGCCCAGAGAATTTTTGTGGAACTGAAGTTCACCTTGAGGGATTGTAACAGCCTACCCGGGGTGGTGGGCACGTGCAAGGAGACATTCAACCTGCATTACAAGGAAACAGACTCGGAGGTGGGCAGGGGCCTGCGGGAGAACCAGTATGTGAAAATTGACACGATCGCCGCAGATGAAAGCTTTACCCAGGGTGACCTGGGCGAGAGGAAGATGAAGCTGAATACAGAAGTGCGCATAATTGGCCCCCTGTCCAGGCGGGGGTTTTACCTGGCCTTCCAGGATGTAGGGGCGTGCATCGCCCTGGTCTCTGTCAAAGTTTATTACAAGAAGTGTTGGTCTATCATCGAGAACCTGGCCATGTTCCCGGACACCGTGACGGGGTCGGAGTTCTCCTCGCTGGTGGAAGTGGAGGGCATTTGTGTAAATGATGCTGAGGAGGAGGCCGACAACTCTCCCAAGATGCACTGCAGCGCTGAAGGGGAATGGCTCGTTCCAATTGGGAAATGTATATGCAAAGTTGGATTTCATCAGAAAGGAGACGCATGTGAACGTGAGTACCTTAAAACATATTTGAATGACTCATTAGCATTCACAGAGTTGCTCCTTTCTAATGTATTCTTTTGAAATCAGTGAGGGGCATCCTGGATTACACCGCAAAAGGTGTACCAAGAAAAAAAAAGAAACAGATATATTGTGATTTGATTATGCAAAGGAGGTAAATGACAATTTAGGCATTACCGGCCGATAAACTGTGTTGGCAAATGGGATAAAAGCAGTATACTTAACAGCAGTAATATATAAATAAATGATTGAGGCCGAATACACAAATAATTAAAGTCTGTATTAATTGATTACCACTCTCTTTATATTCTGTTTAGACTGAGATTAAATAATACATTTAGTTTAGCCCTTCAGCTCCAATACTTTCCCCTTTCCTTCTGGCAACGAGCCAAGACAATCTGGAGCAGATACACAGGTCTGAGGAAGTCCAGCCAGATTTTCAATATCTTTCTAATCTGGCCAAATGACCCTGACAGAGAGGGAAAACAAATAGCCGTGGTACTGTGGCATTCAGGCCTCAGGGTATTTATGAAGGAGCCTAACAGGAAGGGCACACACAGCTCCGCTCGCCTTGTGGTAGTGCCGTCCTGCTGCTACAATTAACAATAAAGTGCGTTCTGTCACAGTGAATGCTCAGAGGATTATTTTCGGTGGGCACCTGACTTGAAAGATAAAAATCGCTATGGATTAGAAGGGGTGATTTAGGTCACACAACTTAAGTGGCCTGGCTTGTCAGCCAATGCTTTTTTTGGGGGCAACCTCAATCTAAGCAGCTTATGAGGAGTAGCAGCCAGTAATAATGGAATGGAATGTGTCTAAGAACAAATGAGTGTCTCTGGCCGACACGCTTTCATGCCACTCTGTCACCCATTAGGGACCCTCTGAGGGTGGGGTGTTAATGAAATATATTAGGCCATGTCATTTAGAGCAGCATCGCCTGCCTCAAATTGTGCCGTGTCTCTAATGTTAGCAGGCTATCGGAGCTCCTTTGTATTGTTCTTGTTGTTTGAATATGCATAGATGTAAGATCCAGTTGTGTCCTTTGGAAAGAAAGCCCGCGTTTTATTTCCACAGGGAGAGCGATGCGACATAACAACCAACAGCTCCGGCTTTTCAAAGTCATTCTAGATTTCTTTCCATATCATATCGTGCTGCAAACCCCTCAGAATAGACTGTTCTGAGTCTCTATTCATGAATCGGTTCGTGTCTCAACTAATACCAATACCTAGAAATAGACAGCAGTGCGATAACCCTACCCTCAGGTTGTGTAAAATGTGAGGAAGAAGGCTCCTTAATGTGTATATGGATCAAACTTGAGTCTTGACACTGCCCCTTTATAAGCTTTATCTCCACTGAGGCATGAGAAGCCTTTGTATTAAGGGGTAGTTCATCACGGTGCGCCATCAGCACTTCTTCCAGCAGCTCCACTGACATTAACTTGTCCATTCAGTAGTTTCCCTGAACACCACCTAAGTATTTCTATCAGCTGGAGAGCAGAGCGATAAGTCCAAGTGGCTGTGACCGTTACAGATGTGAAGTACTGGCATTTGGACCTCGGAATAGCTTGTCTTAGCGGTGTAAAAGAACATCTCTACAATGGTGCCTTACGGGGAGGCTGCGTTCAGTATGATGGTAACGCATTCGTTTGTACAAAGTGTGGTCTGAAAATATAATCATTATAACAATAATACATGTTAGGTCATGAGTCATGCTCTGTATCAGGTGCTTAAAGACACTTTCAAAGGTAAACAACTATGAATGAATACGATACAAATTCAATAAGAATCGTGCTAATACAAACTCATTCAGCACAAGGACACTCCATTACTCACTCATTAAAAACAGGCTCAAGTGTTTAGACCTGTTTTAAATGGGCGAACTGGACCAGGGAAATTACATTTATACATTTGGATAACAGAGCAACATTTTTGTTTTTTGTTTGTACTGATAGATGCGATGAAAATAATTCTATGAGCAATATACAAAGAACAACATCGTAATCTCACCAATCGACATTTGATGCATTCATTGGTATACATTTCAGTCTGTGGGTTTCAGGATTGGAAAAAAGTAATAGTGGTTCTGAGTCCATCTTTGAGACTATTAACTAGCCACCAAAACAAGTCATTCTTTTCTGTTAAGTGTTGAAACATTTTCTGTAGCTTTGCGTGGGCGTTGCATAGGCGTGGCAGCAGAGTGTTTAAGACTCTGTTGAATGACATGACTCGCACACTAACATGCTGATGCGTAATACAGTGTCTGCAGCAGGCTATCATTACAACATGGCCGCCGTGTAAGTTATTCAGCCGGGGGGCGGGTGCAGGTGGAGACAGCAAGTTGAGCTGTCAGTCATGTCATCTGAGGAGCCCCCTCTGTGGGTGCATAGGCCTCCTCTGAAACGTGTTGTGATCCACTCATTCATCACCGTCAGCGAAGAGGGACCCCTTGTCTTTCACTCCGACGCCCCCCTCCCTCTGTCTCTCTTTAACTCTTTGTGTGGCAATCTCTGGCTGTAAATGTCACTCTTCTTCTCCGCCTGCTGCCTTCACTGGTTTCAGTGTAATGGGTGCTGAAAAAGGCCAGTTGAAGTGTCGGCGCAGCCTGCGTTGGCTTCATTTTGCATGTTGTGAAAATAGCCCCCATTCATCCGCTGGTCTTGTTCGGCGCTGGCTGCTGGTTGAGATGGAGCCACGGAGTCGTTGGACAGAGAGAGGGCCCTTGTGGGAGGACATAGGCGTCTTTGTTTGGCTCAGTCCCGGGGAATGTATGTTGTCCGATTTTGACACATCACATCATTGTGGTACTAAATAACGAGTGGCTGAGAAATGATTAACTGTTGACCCTGGACTAAAAAAGGGAGAGGGCTCCGTGTGGTGAAAAACTCTATCGCGCTGCTATCTGTGCATGCTAACAAGATAATTAATGAGAGGATACAGCATCCTGTAGACGCTGGAACCATCCATCTTGACTGTCAGTGAGTCGGACAGAAGTTAGCCGGAGACTGATTGATGATTTAGCCCCCGGGGAGCAGAGCTGTTGGGGTCCGACCACGGCAGCTAACATGTAAGGAGCCACCAGGCAGTCCGGCCCAGCTCCCAGCCTGGAGAAACAACTGCACTTAGCATTTCAAATGAACCCAGGAAGCCAGGAGACAGGAGGTCCCGTACATCTTGATGCTCGCCTGATTGATAAGGTGTGAATTTAATACACCAAATGTCTTTTACAACTGCTCCAGAGCTTAATTATGCAAATGACAGGTGTGAGCCGAATCCACAAGAGACCCAAACGGACCTCAACCACTCGAGATTGAGATAAATTGTTGATGGATGGGAGCTCATCCGCTCAGTATGCTTCCTGTGAAGAGCAGCATCCTCCCAATGCCCAGGGCTTTATTCTCCGTAAATCAAAGCTGTCTGATATGACATGATTTTCATATTTTTTACATATTTATACAATTTTTGACATAAACAGAAATGTTGTTTTCTGGCATCACTTTAAAATGTGATGCCTGTTATCTGGCTTAGACAAAACCCTGGGGAGGACATTACATTCATTTAAGTCATATATCAAGTAAAATAGCAATAATCTCTGGATCAGCTTTCTTAGATATGAATATTTGCGCCTTTTTCTGTTTTATTTGATTGTTAATGGAATATGTTTTAGTTTTTTGGACTGTTGCTCAGACAAAACCAACATTTGAAACAATCTTGTGATAGGTATTTTACGGAATAAAAAAAGTGTTTTAACATCATTAGTTGTTTATGCTGTAGTATTGATAAATCAATGAATTGTTAAGTTTGCAAATAGTGAGGCCCATCGCAAATGTTCATAACCATCTTTTAATGCATTGTAGCATTAACAACCTAAAATATTCCCATTTGAAAAGAAAACATGTTTTGAACTCTAAGGAGGTATCTGAGTAATAGTTGGATGTTCAGAATTATGAGGTTTATAACAAACATCCACATCTTTAGTTTCAGTGCTCAGTACAGTGTATATCTTTTTTGTATCATTCATTTTCTTGCTGCACCAACTGCCCCAAAGGTAGCTTGAAATCGTGATTTGGCAAGCTGTATTTATTTATTTTTACTTCCATATCCACTGCCCTTTTTTAGATATACACTTCAAAATGTGAATTAAAAGCAAGAAGAGGTTGTTTCCGGGGATACAGATGCTTGTTCTGGTTCCAGCAGAGACCAGGTGTCCCTGTCAACATGTCAACATGTCAACATGTCAACATGTCAACATGTCAACATGTCAAATTAAATACAAATGGATCATTTTACAAAAGACTTTCACCAGGAGGCTCATTCAAAAAGTTGTTTCGCTTGGTAAATATTTGTCTCTCAGTTACATTCATATGAACTGCAGCAGGTCATATGCTGAAGGAAACAATGACAATGGTTTATTCAACTGTTTACCCTGGATTTAAATATATAGAGATACCATACTGCTTGGTAGAGTAACTTGGGCTGATTCCAGGAGTATGCACTGAAGAAACTGAAACGTCAACATTTCAGTTGTTCCAGTGTGTTCAAAGTGTGTGTGTGTGTGTGTGTGTGTGTGTGTGTGTGTGTGTGTGTGTGTGTGTGTCAGTGCAGTTATTTCTCTTAAAATACATGGTGGGATTTTAGACAAATTCCCACCGACCATTATTTAAGGCTGTTTCAAAGAACAGGGGAGTGATGACTCAGCAGTATCCAGGTCTTGGAATCTGACCTGCCCGTCAAACTGTGAGGCCCTACGCTGCCTCACATGAATAGACAGAATCCAAGCAAACAGTCATTCTCAAACACACAAAGACACATGGTCAGCTCAGAGGTTCTTTCAGGGAGACCCCTGCCACTTTGAGTCAGATCGCGTTATTTCCAAGGTGACGCAGGGGTCCGTATGTGGCCATGCATAAGCTCAGTGAATATTAACTTCATTTACACATGGCTGCAGCCCAGCGCCACAATGGAGGCCTGCCTGTTGTGTTTAGGAACATGA